CTCCCTTCTAAGGTTAACCTGGATTTCTGGTGAATCTCCCAAATAGTTTTACATCTTAGAACTCTTGACAGAAAAAGGGATGTGACGCCCATTGCGTTCTTTTTCTATCTGCAGTTCCTTACCCGACACATTTGGGAATGGGAGAAACATCCGTGTCCAACAGAACCGTCCTCTGCGTAACAGTGACGAGCCCTGAGCGGGGACAGGAGCAGGAGGCTGGATCTGCCCGTCACTTGTGCTTCACCAGGACCAATGCCAGCGCTCTCGGAGGGACCTCAACATCCTCCTCCCTTTCTAGGCAACCCTTCCAGATGACCCCCTGGGATACGGGGTGCTAAACTGCTGAAGGGTCAGCCACTTAATACTCACTCAAACATGTGACACCAAGCTCTCTCCGGTGTCACCTTCTGTGTGAGCAGGACCTACCTAACCCCTCATATCTTCTGACCCATACTTTGATGGCTCGGTCGTGGCCCACCTCATGCTGACAGGCATACACTGTTTTTGTCCTGTCTTTAAAAAGTTCAAAAGAATGTAATGGTCATGAAAAAAAAAAAAAAGAAAACGAAAAAAGAATATGACTCTTCAATTTCAAATCGGGCAACAGTCTTCTATGGTCATGTCTATGACAGAGTTGGCCATGACACGAAAACCAGACACTCTGTCCTCTGACCACTGAGTACACCTATGAGATCTCAACAGCCTGCATTGTTTCTTAGTCCCCTCTGCATTAGTATTTTTTCCTAATTTTTTTTCTTTATTGATTTTAGAGAGAGAGGAAGGGAGAGGGAGGGAGAGATAGAAACATCGATGAGAGAGAACATCGACTGGCCGCCTCCTGCACGCCCCCCACTGGGGATCAGGCCCACAACCTGGGCATGTGCCCTGACCGGGAATCAAACTGCTGACCTCTTGGTGCAGGGTCGACGCTCAGCCGCTGAGCCACACTGGCTGGGTTGCATTAGTGTTTTATTACTGCAAAATTCCACCATGATTTCATTTCCAATTTAAGCTGGAGATAGGAGGTGCTCCTCTGAAAATCCACAACATTCAATCGAGACAGGAGATCCAAGTAATGGAAAAAAAAAAGGTGCCTAAAATGTTTGCTAATTACACTACAAATGATTTGGGCATTTCCCCCTAATTCAACACAATATTAAATTACAGTACAGAATGCTACCAATTACTATAAAGACACCAGGTACACTACTCTGTAATTTATTGACATGCAGATGTACCCAGGTAAGCATAAGGGAAAACTTCCCCACAACTCCTAAATATAGCTTCTGTGGGCTATTAGTTTAAAAGCAAAATTTTTCTAGTCACTGAAAATGTATTATTTTATTCCTTGTGAGAGACCCGTAGTTATAAAGTTAGATTCCAGCTTATATCAGCAGACTTCTGTACTCTCATTGGAGACCTTAATTTCACAATGTCGATGTTCTGTCCACGTTGCTATAGATGACAAGCTAGGAAAGCTTTGCTTATGCTTTTAGCCCTGCTTGTAACACACGTATACTTAAAAAAAAAAAAAAAGAAATTAAAAAAATAAAAACCCTTGACATATTTGAAAGAAATAAGTGAGCCCGGCCGGTGTGGCTCAGTGGTTGAGCATCTACCCTGCACCAAGGGGTCGCTGGTTCGATTCCCAGTCAGGACACATGCCCAGGTTGTGGGCCTGATCCCCAGTGGGGGGCGTGCAGGAGGCGGCCACTCGATGTTCTCTCTCATCGATGTTTCTCTCTCCCTCTCCCTTCCTTTCTCTCTAAAATTAATAAAGAAATAAGTGAAATAAGTTAAACTACAGTCAACTCTCAAATAACAATGCATTTCACATAAAATTAAGAAAATGCTCAACAGGGGTTTTTGAATCTAGAACGGTCCCGTGAAAACGTCCTAACACCTTGCTCGCTCCAACACTACACGTTTTCTCAGCACTTAGCCTGGCTTTTTCAACAGAGGCCTGCGTTTGAATACATTTTCACTGATAATTATTTTTCTCTCCTACCCACTTGTTTTGCCACGATTAAAAACTCACCATTAAAGACACCTCACAGGAGTAATAGAGTAATTTAAAGAATGTGCTGAATGCATGACTTCTCCTTACTTTTTCAGTTTTAAACCACAAAATTTATGGTTTAACATTATGACACCACAAAATTTAAATGCTGAATTGAGACTATTTCCTAAAGGTAGATATACTTCTTCAGACTTCATAATATAGGATACAAATACGTTAAAACGGAAAATAGTTATTGTTACCTCCTCGGCTATTTTTCCAAGTTTGATACTATTAATAATATCACTCCGTCGTATTTCAACAGTTTCTTCTCTATCATCTCAAACCAACTTTATGGATACACTATCCAAATTGTTGAATGACCAACTATGAATTAGCCTCTAGTTAAAAGGACAGCACATTTTATCCACAAAAAAATCACAACGGCAAGAGACTTACTCAACACATTAGTCAGTTGGCTGATATGAAACCAGAAAGCCAATTTCTCTACCATTTATTTCAAGTGACATATAAAATTTCACTTGAATATAAAATTAGTGGATATTTTTCAGGAGACACACACACACACGTGCACATGCACACGCACACGCACACACACACTCTATTATTTTTTTTTTAATTTATTTTATTCCTTTATTGATTTTAGAGAGTGAGGACAGGAGAGGGAGAGACAGAGAGAGAGAGAGAGAGAGAGAGAGAGAGAGAGAGAAACATCGATGAGAGAGAACACGGACTGGCCGCCTCCTGCACGCCCCCCACTGGGGATCAGCCCACAACCTGGGCATGTGCCCTGACCGGGATCGAACCAGTGACCTCTTGGTGCAGGGTCAACGCTCAACCAACTGAGCCACACCGGTCAGATGAAATCTCTTTTCATCCATAACATTTCCACTATTCCTTTGTCAAAAATACTCAACAGGTATTAACACGTAGCTTAAACATTTCCCGACATTCTCCGAGCAAATGAGCCATTTAACTTGGTCTATAACAGTCTTATGGTCCTAATGCCCGCATACCCTCCGCGCTGCCTGCCCCAGGGTCCACCACTCCATTCAGAATTCTCAGCTTCTGTTCTCAGGTCCCGTCACTGGGAACCTGAACGGTGTTTGGTCGACTTCCTGTTTCCTGCACTTTAAGCAGTCGCCTTCAATCAAAAACATCCTATTTTTCCCTTTTCTACCTAATTCTGCCCCCCTCCCCCCGAGTCTCAGAACTTTGGAAACTCTGTTATCCACACATACTACTTCCTCGTCTGTCTGCACACGTCTCTGTTTTCACTTTGAATCACTTCTTTTTTCTGTCTTGCCACAAGCTCGTTCCCTGTCATTGGTTTGGAAACTGCTTTTTCCATACGCAAAAATAACTCAACAAACACTGTTTTAGAACCTAGGACGTTCCAGCAGGATGGTGGGGACATCAGTGGGTTCTCGCCCTGTTACGTCGTCTCGTAAGCACGAAAGGCACGAGCAAGGAATTTGAAAATAGCACGGTGCTCTTTAAGACAAAGGTACACCCTCAGGGCGGGGAGGCCCCGGCTCCAACCTGGAGGCCAGGGGAACACCCTGTAAGACAAAGGTGCGCTCTCGGGGCGGGGAGGCCCCTGCTCCAACCTGGAGGCCAGGGGAACACCCTGTAAGACAAAGGTGCGCTCTCGGGGCGGGGAGGCCCCCGGCTCCAACCTGGAGGCCAGGGGAACACCCTGTAAGACAAAGGACGCTCTCCGGGCGGGGAGGCCCCGGCTCCAACCTGGAGGTCAGGGGAACACCCCATAGCCAGCAGCTCCGCGCTCAGCCTGACCCCAGAAAAAAACGAGGCTGGAAGTGAAGGTTGGAGGGCACTCCAGACAGAAGGAAGAGCAAATGTAAAGACAAAATAAGTAAACAGCACTGGGTGGGGTAGGAGAAGTCCCAGCTGTTCTGCATGAGCCCAGGGCAACAGGAGAGCAGCAAACAGCAGAAAATGAAGTTAGAGACACAGACAGAGGCCAAAGCACCATCTGCCTTGCAGTTGGACACAGTAAGGTCCGTCTTATGTGTATAAACGTCTCCTATCGCCTGTCATCTGTGAGAGACAGGAGCACCCAGCTTCGGCTAACCTACGATCACTTAATGAAGCAAAAATATAAGGAATACCTGGACAATCTGAAATGCAAGTATTTTACTAACAAACAGGAAGCAGTGTTTAATGCCAATCAATAGCATCAATATCTATGTGATTGGGTCCTTCTTTTTGCTGCTGACTTTGAGAGTCTACAAACAAAATCAGAAATCATCTTCAAATTCAAGGACTCGAACGTCTCAAATGCAGAAAGCACAGAAGTACGTACGTTTACAGAGTGCAGTGATGATACCACGATGATAATATGGGATAACTAACTGTTCCTATTATTAAAAATGCACTGCTATATAAGCATCAAGTATAGATGCTACGAAGAAAAATTAGAATCCGTGAAAAGTGTGCCGTATGCATAGCTGGTGTGTGTCTGTGTGTGCGTACGGGTGTTTCTATGATGTTATGTGGTAGTAAATCTTTTTCCAAAATCTTTATTTTGGGGAGGGGGAGGGGTTGAGGGAAAGGAAATTCTATTAAATGGTAAACCTATCAGTAAGTAGAAATAACATTTTATCTTCAAAAATAATACGAAGGGCTCTACAATGCTTAAAATCCATAAAAGAAATGACCATTCCCATCTGAAATTCTAGAAATTGATGGATAACACCTGCCGCTGCTCCCTATGTCACAACATCAGACAGGGCCTGAGATGCTCTACGGAAGGATAAATAACTTCAATCCAGCGTTTACTCCTAAGCTGGAAACAATGTATCACACTGCTGATACAAACATGCTCCTGTAAGTGCACTTACAAGAACCAAGTTTGCAGTGGTTCCTTGTCCTCCGCCTCTGGGTACAGGAATAACTGCACTTCCCGGGGAATGTCTCACCGCGCCCCCTACTGGACGTCGAGGAGAGGTGAACTTACTTGCGTCGGCCTGGCTCCCCACGCTGATGTACCGGTCGTTGCCGGGCAGCGCCGTGTGGTAGTAGGCGGCCTCTTCCTGCGCAGGGGCCTTGGCGTTGTTGGCGGTCAGGAAGGCCACGGCCAGCTCCAGGTTCCCGTTGCTGTCCTTCAAACAGCAAGCGCAGAACGTCAGCTACTTTGAAAGGTTTCTGTACGTCCGCACACGGGGTGCAGAGTGGTCTCCGTAACCACGAAAACTGCACGGCAAAAACCCGTCTCAGAGTTTAAATGATGGTTGGGATTCTAACTGTGTGCTGTGCATTCATTATACACAAAGGATATTATCACGTCAACAGTAATCCCTGCTCCTGCTCATTAAGACTGCTAACATAGCCAATGTGGCTCCATGGTGGAGCGTCGACCCTGCACCAAGAGGTCGCTGGTTCGATTCCCGGTCAGGACACGTGCCCAGGTTGTGGGCTGATCCCCAGTGGGGGGCGTGCAGGAGGCGGCCAGTTGATGTTTTCTCATTGATGTTTCTCTCTCTCTCCCTTCCTCTCTCTCTAAACTCAACAAAGAAAAAACAAACAAAATAAAACTACTAATATAATGTAAAAATCACTTTTATTACTAATTCCTCAGTTTTCCATTCCTTGCCTATCGGGTTAGCCAAAGTCAATCACCAACGTACACGTCTACACCAACGAACACACTGGAAAAGACGTCTCTGGCCACGCCGCGGGGTGAAGAGCGAGTACTGAGGGCAGCACGTCTCCGGACAAGGACAGGGGACGGCGTTCCCTGTGACGGCAGCCGAATGCACCCCGCGGGCCAACCCGAGCAATCGTCAGAGGCTCGCACAAAGCGACAGCCGACCACCGACGCCGGCCAGCAGACGACACACGGAGCTCCGGACAGAAACGCTCCACGCCGACGAGAGCACGGTCCCGCCGGACTACGTGCTGCCGGAAGTGTGTTGCTGACAGCACGCCTGGACACGGCGTCACTCGACAGTTACATTCGAAGAGAGCAGATGCTAGGGGCCTAAGAATTCCCAGAACAACAAAGTAACCACTTGTGCAGTTTTACCTCTACATTCTCAGTACACTTAATAAATGTAAGGGACTTAGCTCGCAGCAGCTCAAACAACATTAAGAAAGCCAGATGTTGCCCTGGCCGGGTTGCTCAGTGGTTAGAGTACTGGCCTGCGGACCGGAGAGTCTCGGTTCGATTCCGGCCAAGGGCATGTACCTCGGTTGCGGTTTGTCCCCGGCCCTGGTCGGGGTTGTGCGGGAGGCAGCCAGTGATGTGTCACTCACGTTGATATTTCCGTCTCTCTCTCCCTCCCTCCCACTCTATCTGATGATAAATGTAAAAATATCCTCAGGTGAGGATTAAGAAAAGAAAGCCAGATATCAGTAACCAGGTTATCTTTGTAACGCAAGGCTCAGCAGGCCTCAGAACCTGACCACATATGCAAAGTGTAACGACGTCAGTGGAGGGTTCTGCACAGAGATGTTGCAGTATGGCTTACATTTCATTTTATATATTTTTTTTTATCCTCACCCAAGGACATTTTTTTTTTTTTGCATATTTCTTCAGATAGAGAGAGAGGGAAGGAGAGAAAAAGAGAAACATCGACGTGAGACAGACACATTGAGTGGTTGCCACCCATCGACCCCAATGGGGCCGGGGACAAACTGCAACCGAGGTACGTGCCCTTAGCGGGGACCGAACCCAGGACTCTCTGTCTGGGGGCAGACGATCTAACCGCTGAGCCTCACAGGCCAGGGCAATGACTTACCTTTTAAAAGGACTTTATTGAGCATTTATTATGGGCCAGGAAACAGGCTGAGTGCATTTCCTATTCTACCTCACGCAATGACAAACTGAGTGGCACCAGGATTTATGCAAGCTGAAGGTTCCTAACTTTGGAGGGCTGAAAAAAAAAAAAAAAAAATACTCAAAATAAAATGAAAGGTCTGAAATCAATCAATAACATTGTGGATCCCAAAAGAAAACTGAGAAAGTCAAGTCATTATTAAACCTCTTACAAATCTTTAAAAATATGTTTTTATTGATTTCAGAGACAGAGAGAAGAAGGGAGAGAGAGAGAGAGAAACACTGATGAGAAAGAAACATCGATTGGCCGCCTCCTACACGCCCCCTACTGGGGCTAGAGCCTGAAACCTGGGCATGTGCTCTGCCCAGGAATCGAACCCGCAACCTCAGTGCATGGGAGGGTGCTCAACCACTGAGCCACAGCGGCTGGGGCACATCTTACAAACTTACATGGGGAACAGTTAAGGCTTAAACACAGTTCCCCACAGCACCACCCAGCTACTGGTCCCTGAAATAAACATCAGAAAAACACAAAACTACTAATCACACAACTTACCTCCAAGAAAATGTGGACAAGACCTTAATTCATTCTTATTTCCTTAAACATATTCTACATGTTTCCCAAATTTAAAAAAAATCATAAATAAATTCCCTACGTGTGCCCCGGCAATGCAACAGGTGTAGAGTCATAAGCGGCGATGGAGAACGGGAAAGACACCTTGTGAAAACACACATGGGTGACGTGGGCATGGTCTCAGAACAGGGCGAACGGGCCATCATCCAGCGCCACCGCCGTACACGCTGAGGCTCGGTTCTTCGGCCTCCTCTCCGAATGCCTACACCGGCTCGTTTTCCTAAGGGAACCGCAAGCTTCTCGCAACAGCAGTTCGAGGTGGGCCCTTGGGGGCAGGCTGCTGGGCTTCCACCCCCAGCCCCCCGCAGACGGGCTGTGGGATCCTGAGCAGGTCACTTGAAGCTCTGCTTCCTAATCTCTTTCAGCTTTTGAGTCGGATGTAGTCCCATGTGTTCATTTTCTCCTTTGTTTCTGGTGCCTTAGGTGATGTATCGGTGACAATTCTGCTGCTTGTGATGTCTGAAATGTTGTTGCCTACAGTTTCTTTTAGGATTTTTATAGATTCATGAGTCACATTTAAGTCTGTTATCCATTGAGTTTATTCTTGTGGATGGTGTAAGTTGGTCTAGTTTAATTTTTCTGCATGTAGCTGTCCAGTTTTCCCAACACCATTTATTAAAGAGGCTGTCCTTACTCCACTGTATGCTCTTGCCACCTTTGTCAAATATTAATTGAGCATATTGCCTTGGGTCCATTTCTGGGTTCTCTGTTCTGTTCCACTGGTGTATATGCCTGTTCTTGTGCCAGTACCAGGCTGTTTTGATTACAGTGGCTTTGTAGTATAACCTGAAATCTGGTAATGTGATCCCACCTACTTTGTTCTTTTTCAAGATCGCTGTGGCTATTTGAGGTCTTTTTTGGTTCCATATGAACTTTTGAAGCATTTGTTCTAGTTCTGTGAAGTATGTCGTTGGTATTTTGATGGGGATTGCATTGAATCTATAGATTGCTTTGGGTAGTACGGACATTTTAATGATGTTAATTCTTCCAATCCAGGAACAAGGTATGTGCTTCCACTTTTTAATATCTTGCTCTGTTTCTTTCTTCAATGACCTGTAGTTTACTGTGAAGAGGTCCTTTACTTCTTTGGTTAAGTTTATTCCCAGGTGTCTTATTGTTTCCAGTCTTTCAAAAGGGATGAGAATAACACCTACCTCACAGGCTTAGTAGGAGAATGCAGGCCACATAAAGTGTGCAGAACCGAGCCCAGTACGATAAATGCTGAGCAAGGGCTAGTGAGACCACTCTCATTAGGATGACGGTGACGACGCTCACCTGGACGATAAATTATTCCTGGAAACAAGAACTTGAAGCTGTGGGCAGGCCTGGAGTGGCCCAGGTGACGTCAGGTCCAATGCAGTTCACCCGTGAAACAATTTCCATTTCCCTGAGCTTTTCCAGTGTGCGTGCCGCGTGATCCCACGGAAACGAGGCCACGCCACCAGACACCACCCAAAGGATGCACTTTATTTCTTGCAGCCACTAAACGGCTTAACGTTGAATATTCTTAAGGTCCAATCAGCTGAATGTCAGCCAAATTACATTTCTCTTCGTGACCCTCTATTGATTTTCGACTTCTCCCCCGTCCTCTCTCTGCCCCACCCCACCGCACCTCCGCTTTGCCTGACAAGCGTTTCTCAGGGAGACTCACCTGTCACTCCATGACGTCCGGGAACATCAGGCTGCTGAAGCGAACACGCTCAGAACTGTAGTGTGTTGTGCTAAGAAAGTCCCTTACTGTATCAGCCCTTTCTCATAGCATTACTACCAGGCGGTAAAACAAAACAGTCGACCTTCAGAGGTGTGGGCAGGGGAGGGGAGGGGACCACGAACCCGAACCCGGAACAGAGGCCCTACCTTCAAGGCTTGCTGCAGTATCTGGGCGTCATTAATGCCAGTGATCTCTCTCAGCTGATTCAGAAGCGTCTGCTGGTGCTGGAGGAAGGGAAAAGCGAGAGCATGAGCCTCTGAAAGCTGAGGACGCAGACGGCCTTTGGGGAGAGGGTTATGCAACATCAGCTAGAGGAGACACAGGACTTGACACTGGACAAATGTCCCTCTCAGGAAGAAGGAGCCACGGCGCGGGGGCCCTTATTCCACGCTCGTGTGCCCACCGAAAGGGAAGTGTACAGTCCTCCCCAAGAAAGTCCTCCTGGATTCGCTTCTGGCCCCCCCTCATTTGTGTCTCCCAAAAGGAGAAGGCGTGGCCTGGCTGCATGGTGCCGAAGCCCGAGAACGAAGGAGAACAGGTAACCACGGGGCCACTTCGAGGGGGGAAAGGCACCATCGACAGGTCAGGCGGTTCTGGTCACTCCTCCCTGACCCCTGGGCCAGCCAGCACCAGGCCCCCGGCACCAGGTCGGCACAGTGATGACAGGGACCCTCAGATCTATTTCAGGAAAGAAGAGAATCATCTCATCGTCCAATCTGTCATGAAGACCCTACATAGAATTGATCTTTCGCCTTCACTTGTGTCAGACCTGCTTATACTACTGAATCGGGGAGACAGAGAGAGGTGGACAGGACCTCGCTGCCTAACCCTGCCCTGAACTACCCTAATGGAGTCATGTTCCTCCCTACATCTCTGTATTTATTTTTCTTTTCCTTTATTGATTTTAAAATATTTTTTCTTTATTGACTTTACAGAGAGGAAAGGAAAGAGAAAGAAACATGGATGAGAGAACATCGACTGGCCGCCTCCTGCACGCCCCCCACTGGGGATCGGGCCCACAACCTGGGCATGTGTCCTGACCAGGAATCGAACCAGTGACCTCTTGGTGCAGGGTCGCCACTGACCACTGAGCCACATCATCTGGGCTCCTTTATTGATTTTAGAGAGAAGGGAAGGGAGAGAGAGAGAGAAACATGGATGAGAGAGAACACTGACTGGCTGCTCCCTGCATACCCCCCACTGGGGATCAGCCCACAATCTGGGCATGTGTCCTCACCGGGAATCAAACCAGCGACCTCTTGGTGCAAGGTCCATGCTCAACCACTGAGCCACACTGGCCAGGCTACCTCTGTATTTCCTAAAAGAAGTTCCCATGACAACACCTTGAAATAAACTCAGCGCAATCGATGTACGAAAAATAAGCATCACTAAAACAGAAGGATCTGATGAAATATTTCTGGAAAATGTTCTACCTTCATCCCGGCAATAATTCCGTCACGTCTCCTCAGTGGATGCTGAAACTGCTGGGGGAACGTTCAAGAGCCACAGGGTGGTTACACAGTTTCGAGCCCCTGTCCCAGGACTTCCTTCTCAAGGGAGAAAGTAACTATGGAGAAGGAAGCACTTCAACCACAAGCGAGCAAAGTGAACACACCACTGATGGGTCACAAGGACAGTGTGTGCCGCCTGACACGTATGCCAAGAAAAAAATGCCACGTGTGGTATTCCGGCCGCAAAATAAACAAATAGAATCTACCTTTCAGGAAGCATCAGACAAACCCATACTGAGGGGCGTTTATCTTCAAAATGTCTCCATCGCGAATGACAAAGGAGGAGACTCCAGATTACAGGGGACACGAAGCTTGGCGACCAAATGCAGTGAGAAACACCTGTGCTAACCAGACAGGGAGAGACACCTGTGCTAAACCAGACAGGGAGAGACACTTGTGCTTAAACCAGACAGCGAGAGACACCTGTGCTTAAACCAGACAGCGAGAGACACCTGTGCTAAACCAGACAGCGAGAGACACCTGTGCTAAACCAGACAGGGAGAGACACCTGTGCTTAAACCAGACAGCGAGAGACACCTGTGCTAAACCAGACAGGGAGAGACACCTGTGCTAAACCAGACAGGGAGAGACACCTGTGCTAAACCAGACAGGGAGAGACACCTGTGCTTAAACCAGACAGGGAGAGACACCTGTGCCAAACCAGACAGCGAGAGACACCTGTGCTAAACCAGACAGCGAGAGACACCTGTGCTAAACCAGACAGGGAGAGACACCTGTGCCAAACCAGACAGGAGAGACACCTGTGCCAAACCAGACAGGAGAGACACCTGTGCCAAACCAGACAGGGAGAGACACCTGTGCCAAACCAGACAGGAGAGACACCTGTGCCAAACCAGACAGGAGAGACACCTGTGCCAAACCAGACAGGGAGAGACACCTGTGCTAACCAGACAGGGAGAGACACCTGTGCCAAACCAGACAGGGAGAGACACCTGTGCCAAACCAGACAGGGAGAGACACCTGTGCCAAACCAGACAGAGAGAGACACCTGTGCTAAACCAGACAGGGAGAGACACCTGTGCTAAACCAGACAGGAGAGACACCTTTGCCAAACCAGACAGGAGGAGACACCTGTGCCAAACCAGACAGGGAGAGACACCGTGTGCTAAACCAACCAGGGAGACCACGTGTGCGAAAGCAGGGAGAGACACGTGTGCTAAACCAGACAGGGAGAGACACGTGTGCTAAACCAGACAGGGAGAGACACCTGTGCTAACCAGACAGGGAGAGACACCTGTGCCAAACCAGACAGGGAGAGACACCTGTGCTAAACCAGACAGGGAGAGACACCTGTGCCAAACCAGACAGGGAGAGACACCTGTGCCAAACCAGACAGGGAGAGACACCTGTGCTAAACCAGACAGGGTATTTTGGGACAGGTGGAGAACTATGCATGTGGACAGCTTAGTACCAATACCCTCTTAATATTAAATTCCTGAAGTTGGTAACTGTACTCCAGTTCTGCAAAAAATGTTTCTTTTCGTAGGAAATGAGCTCGGGTATTTCAGTGGTTAGGGACGTGCAACTTACTCTTCTCAAATGGTTCCGAAAAAGTAAGTTATGGCCCCGGCTGGTTTGGCTCAGCGGTTAGAGCGTCGGCCTGCGGACCAGAGAGGCCCGGGCTCGGTTCCTGCTAAGGGCACAAACCTTGGCTGCAGCCGTGTGGGTGGCGACCAGTCGATGTGTCTCTCTCACATCGATGTTTCTCTCCCTCATTTCCTCCCTCTCTCCCTCCCGCTCTATCTGAAGACAAATGCAAAAATGTCCTCGGGTGAGGATAAAAAACAAATAAATAAAGCAATACGTTATGAAAGTTCTTCGTGCTCCTCTTGTAACTTTATCTTTAAAATTACTTCCAAACGAAAGTTCTAAAACGTTCTGCCTGCCGATTTGTTGACGTCACAACTGCCAAGTGTGCCAAGTGTGCGTTTCCTTGCAGGCTGGAGAACTGGAATGTGCACACTGTATATCCATTCAGATGAGGAGTCCGACACCAATTTCAGAATTCAGTGAAAAAAAAAAAAAGCCATTTTGAACTCAAGTTGGAGATAACCTAGACTGAACATCTTTTGCAGAAAACACGTGTCAGTTCAAAATCATCTTCAGCTACAGAACTGGGTGCCTCTAAATCGCGGCCGCAATGCCTCTTTTTCCTCCGGTGAGTGGACTGCGGTGAGCAGGCCGGACTGGAACACATACCGCCGGGACTCAGACGTCGAAGCTCCGCAGGCCTTCCCCCTCAACGTGCCGACGGGTGACCGCCACCCAACGTCAGGCCTCCTCTTCCGGCGTCCTGTCCCATCTCAGACAACAGGAAGGAAGGAGCCGAGGACAACAGGGGTCTGCAAAAGATCCCGCCTTCTTCAGCAAACCCACGTATTCGAATCACTTCCACTTAGAGTCCCACTGAGCCCCACAAAGTCACGTGGCCCAGTCGCAGGTGCCAAGGAGGCAGGGTAACGCCCTGCTCGGCCAGGCAGAAAGCTGCCCTCAAAATGGACCAGGGTCCCGTTCAGAAGGAAAAAGAAGAGAATGCACATTGTATCTGCCGTGTACACAGTTTCCGTCGTGCTATCAATTGTCACTGCTGTGAAACTCGGAAGGAGCCAAGAAACCAAGATTATCTAACGACACCCAGGCAATCAAGTACACGCGCGAGGTTACATAAAATGCCGTGAAGAATCGAAATGCCGGGTTTACAGGAATGACAGAGGGAAAAAATTAAATTCTCCTTAAACCTGTGAACTTTTCCCTGTTCATTTTTTTAAAATGACCAATAACTACTACTGGAACCGTAACTACGCAGTATAGCCAACATTACCCATCAGACATCTATAAAAATACAAGAAATTCTCCTTACCTAATTCAATGTCTTATGTTAGTGAACATATATATACTATGCGAAAGATTTTCTAGCCATCACCATCACCAGCCCTCCAAACTCCATCTCCACCCCGAATATTATTTCCTCCACTGCAAATTCATGCATCACGGATCGGGGAGACTGCTGGGGAAACCCCCGAGGAGTTGCCTGCACACATGTTGCTGGCTACTCTGTGTAATGCTGGGAGAGCAGACACAGCGCCAACGTCCTTCCAGAAAGGAGGAGACCCCGGCCTTCAGGGTGCAGGAGCCTAAGCTGATGACTGTTGACAATGAAGATTCCCAGGCCCCACACCACGGAGACTGTGTGAATAAGCACCTCAAAAGCTTTGGCAGCAGACGGATCCAGAAGTCCAGTCGGAGTCCAGCAAAGCAACGGGACGTTGCAAAACCACATGAAGCGAAAGGGACGGCATTCAAAACAGCACACAGACGCGGCCATGACGTCCGCACGAACAGAAATCCCAGGAAAGCTCACAGAGCGCGCGTCAGACTTATTCTCCTCCCATCTCTGCATCCCACCGCGACTGACACTTCCTTCCTCCGAGAGAGACAGCTTGCTTCCTTGCTGCGCTGAGGGTGGGCTGCCCTGGGACACGGCAGTGACGGGGGACACGTGAGCAGACATCAGATGTGCCCGCACGCTCGGGCTTGCCCTCCTGAACTTCCACAGCTTCCCAGGGCCTGACCTCAGCGGCCCAGGTGCCCCAGAACAACGGGGACCCACGGAGAAGGGCCGTCCCGCCAGCCTACCCGTCTGCGAACGTGACCAGAGTAAGTGCTGGCCACGAACTTCCGGACCGGCTGTC